ACTAGGCTCGAAAACATTTTGGATTATATGATAAAAAATTGCATTTGATAAAAACAAACGGAGCAAAAAGTTTTGATGACCCTCCCAAGCCTCCTGGAATTTTAATATTTTTTGAAATACTAGAATATGAGGATTTACTTAAGACAATGAAATTACTGCATGAAGTTCAGGGGCATGCACCAGTGGAAACAACCTTACGAAGTGCAAGTCAAAGATACTGGCACCCAGAGATAACATTAGTAGTATACGAAGTTCTTCGAAACTGCCGCCAATATCAATTGATGAAACCTCCCGACCCAAGTCTTGGAAATCTTAGACCAATCCAACCACCACCTCCTTTGAGTAGGTGGGGCATTGATCACACACAGGTGAGCCAAAAAATATTGCTAAATGCAGTAGAATATGCCACTGGCTGGTTGGAGTCACGTATTGTTCTAAACGCTGATTTCGAATGTACAGTACCCTTACTTTATATATTTAAAACTTTTGGCACCCCAAACCAGATAATCAGCGACAATGCAAACAGTTTTACAGAAAATAAAGCAAAGGAGTTACAGAGACAATGTAACGGCTGGTAAGCCGATTGGTCCCTGTAGCCTATGTTGGTTAACTTAGGCCTGATTCGAGTGGCGTTATTAATGACCACCTATGCACTAATATGCGACGCCACCCAATACAATACTTTTGCGTCGGCATTTGCATGGTATTCACATGGCATCGGACTCGGCAGTGCAGCACGACAGTACGGCACTACACCACATGTTGATAGGCTTACACTAACTGGGAATATACGAGACCGAGTACAATCCCTCCGGAACACAACGCGACAGTGCTGTATTACAGGTATTGCCAGAGCACTAGGAGAGCCCCATTGTCAACGGCTAAGAATAACCACCGAAGAAGTTGGACAAAGAAATATCTCAGGTCAAAAATAGGGACTGTCCATACATACATGGGTTATTTGTTTCGGCCAGTGCTTCAATTCTGTATTTAGAACTGCAGGTTATTCTCTTTCTAGCGCATGTCTATATTTAGAGATCAAGAGATCAAGTCAATCATGATCAGTTTATATAGTCCTAGAATTCCGGGAGAAATAGAAATCAAGTTGTTTTTACTGAGTTATCTTTTACTTTAATTACATACACTTCGCCTGTCACAGGTCAGGCTCCCAGTTACCTGACACCCATAGCATAGGAAAAGGAGAGGGATTAGCCTCGGTGGCGAGGAGGCTTTCACGTACATAAATGACTAGATAGACGTAGTGGAAGTTCTCTCCTTAGAATTATTATTTACTACCATCGACCACATAGTCGCCTCAGCACTTGTCCCTCGAAACCGTGACAGACAATACAAATTCACCATGACTCACACCACCCCAAATCGGCCTCAGAGTAATGGTAAAGTTGAGCAAGTAAATTGAATTCTAAAAGTTATATTAAGTCGTACTATGCTTGATAATAAAACGATGCCTCTTGCTACGACTCTCGCTAGAGCCGTTTTCATCTTTAACAGAAGAATCTCACCGCTAGGTTATAGTTCATTTTTCCTCCTGTATGGCACTCGACCTCCGGAAGAGGAGATATTGTACCCCATCTATGCACGAAAAGTGTTGGAAATTCTAACTCTCGAATTCAGGACTCAACCATTACGTTTTTCGTCTCAGGTTCCCGACAAGATCGACTCTCTCTACTGTTAGAAATTGTCAAGGATTTCTAGGAGGAAATATCTCGAAGAACAAGTGTACAATTTCGGACAAGAATTTATTGATAGTTGTATGTGATATCGAACTCTCTTCTCAATATGAATTAATAATATATAATGCTCTGTTAACTTAGTTTAACATAGACAAATAAGCCAATCCTTAAATACAGATTCCCGAGGCTTTAGTGATCTCGAACTCTCAGTGATCTAGCTACAACCAGCCACTCTATTACCGCATGGTATCATTTCCTAGCCACTGCATTTCAGATACTACTGAACCTCGTTTCCCCTAGCTGAGCTTGATCGTATGCAATAGAAACAGGTAAATTGATCTTGATGATCAAACTAGAAATCTAAACCTTCATACATACGAAGTCTAGATTTCCAACATCTACACATATCCCGAGTGCGCTAATCGCGCCTACTGTCGCATATGCGTTTGGATATTTACGTAATACAGAGTACCTTGGCTCATCATAGTAGATGAGGGGTGGCTGGTCATCACTAGGTTTGACAGGCACATGAGACTAGTGGGAATTTCTTCCTTGGATGTATATACAAGTCCAATGTTCCTACAGTTGTAAAAATATCAACTCTTCTTTACTTCATCGTGTTTATCCATATAATATCGTACAGAGTATATTTTCCAATAAAAAGTGACCGCAAGCGAAGGAAAAGAATGGGCAAACGACCTTGCGGAATCGCATGCAGCACCAATCGCTCGATCTCATGCTAGTAGTGTCAAAGCATCACGGGCTAAAACGCGCGAATATTTGCAAGAATCTAAAGTTCTGCTGAGGACCTTTACACCAGGAGACTGGGGTTTGCGTGCTAGGCAAAGAAAACATAAGTTTGAGCCCTATTACGATGGCCCATATGCTATTGCTGCTAGTCATGCAAATAATACCTATTCTGTTGGAATTTAGAATAATTGGGGCCATCAAGTAGGCCACATTGTTGGTACACACGTGACTAAAAATTATGTACTTAGTTTCACTTCGGTAGTTACTTGAATCAATGCGCTCTCCAACCTCAATGACTGAGGGGTCATCATTTCCTTAATATATTCATTAATTTCACCTGGAGGTTACAGACTTGTAAACCGATACAATGGAACAAATCTGTTCCTTGCCCATGTGCGCGATGGACACCCAGTACAAAGTCTGTGGTATGGTAGCCGAAATATGCTTAACCAAGACCGAGAATTTTTGAGATCTAATGTTGGTATCGATCAGGCTGAAAAGAGCTGAGGACAGTTTAGACTTAGAAAGAGGGATAATTGAGGATCCCTGATCATAGACATTGTATTGTAATTTGTCACGTGTACCTCAGTCTATATGCATAATGCGCAATAAGCTAGAAACCTGTATGTACTAGACACATCCTATAATTTTAGAGGACAGTCATGCACCGTCTTAAGATTTCATTATACAGAAGATGTAGCAGAAATCCAGAGACACTGTTAACCTTCGATTTCCGTATATCCACATTTTACCACCGTACCATCCCAGGAACTTATAATCTCACGGGAATAGAGAGGACTGGTGTTATTATTGACACTAGCGTCGAGCTAGTCCGAGGAGACCTTTAAAGCAGCCCTCTTTTATTTAAAAAAAAAAAGATCATTTAATGTGTATTCAGCTACCTAGCTATGACAAATGACCAGTGCTCTGTGTGCATATTGGATGACTCTTTTTGCGTTATAGACACTCATACTTTGAATATCATTCGCAAATACCACTATGAGATATGCTTGCTTACACAAACAGTCGACCCTCCTCCGTAAGTACCCACCAAAGGGAAGTTTCAAAACCTTTGATTGTCCCAGCTTGCCTTCGTCATCCGTGTATACCAGCGCCGCGAGAAATATGGTTGTGTTTTGCCAGATTGGAACCAGCGGTCTCCTGTCTCGAGTGGGATATGTGTCCATGCTATCCAGTCCCTACTTGGAGGACCGGCCAAGATGATATACCACTACACCATCCAACCATGGCGGCGTTTATAGTGTCGCTTGCACTCTCGCAACTGAAGTCTTGGCGCACATATAAAGCTCAATTCATGAAACTAGTTGTCTAAACCCAAAATCACACACCCGTCAAGAATGTATCCATCCTCTGCATGATCTTGTAAACTTGTCCTGATTCCTCTCACGCCCATTCCAAAGAACTATCTCCCAGATTTGTGCGCCACGGATTGCCTCCTCCGTCGGGTGTAAATATCGGCGTGGGCGTGTATCTGGCGACCAGCTAAGGCCAGAGAGAGTCGACGAAAGGCGTGGTCATTGGGATGAGGATGTACTGGGTCGTACTTGTAGACTTGATGAGGCTTAGGAAGGAATCGATCTCTTTGGGAGTGAAAGATTGATATGGTGGAGTATTTTGAATAATTGCCTCGTGGGCCAACTTGTTTAGTATTGCGAAGTTTGACTGAACTTGGCTCTGGGAGAATATTTCACTCTCAGGTTCGTAGAGGACACCGCGTACAGATGTTCAGTCTTGCCCTCCATTTTATGGTATTGCTTGCGTGCAGTGACCGTTTGCCATAACCGTTAACATCATGGAGCTTTTTATTGGTAAAGTAATCTATAGAGTTAAGCCTCCCAGAACATTAATTGAATTAGGTGTTAATCATTTGGTTCGATTATCGTCGCGAATAACAATCAGAATCGTGTTCCGTTTTTATATAGGTGACTATTTGTACAATATATATGTATATATAGTCGATTTATTACGCCGACACGTTCAGTATGTGTCGGCCCGTCTAGATCGGAAAAGCAAATATGTCACTATGTAGGGATCACATGTTGATCTCGGCATGGATGCGCTAGCCAGGATTCCCACTATAGCTGTGAACCCTGTATAGACAAGAGCAATGAACAATAGTACCAATTCGTAAACACTAGACTCTTTACGTAACCAATTTGATACAAAATACATACACAGCACTGGTCATATGTCATAGCTAGATCGCTAAATACACAATAAATGATTTAAAAAAAACTAATATGATCGTTCGTCAAAACACCCCGTAGTCATTCCAACAGTATGCTTTATACCACTTGGGAGAACAACTTCTACTGTATGATAGCATATATATCTTTTCATTCATATTACGTACATTTTAATGGACAAGTTATAGTCTTGGAACTTAAAGCTACAAATTTAAAATATTAAACTTGATTCCAGGAGAAGATGGGGCGGTGGTTACCATGGATGTTCAAGATGTATGTTTAAAATTATTTCTTTCATGACGGGTGCTAACCTCATAAAAGTAGTACGAATATCATCAAAAGTTTCATGTCATTCGCGTCTACTTGTATCATACCGTGTTCCTAATGTGGAATATTCTGACCAGGCCGATACAGTTTCTTCGACCTCTGAAAGAAACGATGCGCTATTGTGAACACTCGTCCCGCCCAAAACAATTCTTGTCCCAAGAGAAGATGTATTGATCTGCGATATAGTCTTCGCTTCTTCGAAAGTGACGCCACCGATGATAAAGATAATTATATCTTGAGGCTTATCTCTTGTAACTCCTCCTCCTTCGGCAAAAGGATACTGTGATTCTTTGAGGCGTCCTTTAATGAGATTCTGTATGGTAAGTTCTAATCTGGGGGAGTGTTGTGTATATACATTCTCCACGCCCTGGAGCCCTCTTAAGCGACTTCGTGCACCCGAAAATATACCAGTGGACTCTAGTATATCAGTGATACCACCTACCACTTGCGTCCGTTGTAGCGAGGCCTGGTATTTGAGTAATTTAGGAATAATCTCGGCCCGATACAGTGGAACTTTCCCAACTGCAACAAGTAGTTCAATAAGTAAAGCGATTGTGTTTGAAGGATTTTTCTCGTATCTTAATGCGTAGAGGGCTACTAGCCGTAGTTTTGTTTCGGGAGAAACATTTGCTGATTGAATGAGTCTTTGCACGTTCTATTCCAAATTAATTCCAATTAAAAGCAAAAATGCACTGAGAGGAACGGTACCTTAAGGTCAGCTGCATGGGAATCATTACATGCCAGGCTCTGTTCCACCTCACTTACTTCCAAAAGATTTTCCACGCCCACCCTCCTACTTAGTTCTCCAACAATCGTCACGTGCTTATTAACATTTCCTGAGAGCTTTCGAAACTCTGGATATTCCTCAATGAAGCGCTTCATGTCGGCGATGGACTCGATATTAGAGCTATTTTTTGTCTTAGACTGGTATTGTTCGACGTAATCTTTAATATTTCCACCAAGATCACCAAAGTTCAAGTACATGTTCTTCTTAAAGAAAGGGTCCTGTTCCTGACAGAGCACCACTTCTTTTAACTCCGGCCTAATATCTGGTACATTACTCAGGTCGACCCGACCATTATGAATACCTATGAGCTCATGAACCATAGCTTGATAGGTCCACTGTGTCAGTAGAGGGGTAATTGGGTCATCTCTTCGGTCTAATATAAGTAGAATGGGTGGTGTGTCAACCTTCCTGAAGTCGAATAGTTTACTTTCTTGTGAGATGTTATGTTGGATTTCAGTCGCGAGTTTTTTTGCGAGTAAGCTATCTTTAGCATACCGGATTAGAGGCTTTTTCTTTAAGGACAAGAGTACTGCTTGTAAGCCTTCCATTGTGCTTTGCAATGTTTCGGTGTTCCATGTGTCTGGATTTGAACCCCATATGTGTTTCTTTTGAGAGCCGAGGTCGAGAGTGAATAAATCTGGATTTATGACAATAAAATCAGCAAAAAATTCTTGTACGACTCTCACAACCTCGTGATCATCAGCTTCCGCAAGACGCTCCAGAGCCGACTTTTTTATAATATTACTGAAATAAATATAGTATTCTCCATATCTGGGCTCTCGAAACTCATCAAGCAATGATTGAATCGATTCTGACGATGGACGGACGAAGCATATGCAGCGCAGATGACGCATCTTCTCGCGATTCTGATTGTCTAGCCTATCAATAAGATAGACTTCGTGATTCAAGAGAGCAGATTGTGTGATGGCAGTCGAAACAACTGATACCGTTTCTTTATCCAGTAATAGTATCTTCATCTTCGTAGTTGTAGCTCCAGATCTGCTATCTGCAGCAGATACCATCCTGGTGATGTACCCTGACACAGCTTTGACAACGTCCATAGTTACGTTTAGATACACAATGCAGACTTTAGTCACGAATAGGTGGGTTTCATTTCGTTAAACTACCTCGACTGGAAGATAGCTGAGGGTATTGCACATCTCTGAACATATCGAAGGCCTGAAGATAAATTGTAAGAGATAGATGATGTAGCCTTACTCACAGACATGCACCTGTGCAAACAAATGGTAGCCTTGCATATAGGAAGACTAAAATATTTTGGCGCACTTGTTACGGCATCCATTGCGTCAATTGGCACAGTCGATATCGAATATTAGGCTATGAGATGAGTCAGAGAGAGGGGTGTGTTTATAGTACTTGAGTCTATGACTAACTAGCACATTGGGCTCCTCTCTAACCCAGGCCACACCTTGTACAGTGCTCCTATTCTCTTTTGTTACTTCAAAGATCATTGATATATTCCCCTTGATGAATAGCCATTCAGCTCAGTAGTTACCCGTGGAATTCAGCCACCTTTTCCACGGAACCTTCTACTCAAAAAAAATAAAAATGGTAGCAATGGAAACTGCGTGCGCGGGAAAAAGTCTCAAAAAACCTGCAGCCCCAGCCAGGCGAGGCCTAGACACCGGGACCACATGAGGTGCGCATATTCATCTATATCTCCCTTCCTTGTAACATTCGAGGCCGACTTGATCCAATCCAAAATCTCCGTATCGGGTGCTGGGTACGCTCCGGAAACTCATCAGATGGCTTTTCCTCCGTGATCAAGGTTTGGTGATGAGTAGAGCTCCGACCCTACCATCTGATCTGATCGTGGTTAGCTTCATGATAATGGTGATAGGGGAATGTGTTAAGAGATGAAGACGACACAGTCCGCGAAAGCAAATAGAAGTGCTCATCAAATTGAGGACTTTGTCACCCAATCTCGGCTCTGAAGACTACAGTGAGAGCTGGAGGTACGTAGGGGACACCACTGACAGGTGTTGAAAATAGTCCCCCGTCATTTAATGGATGATGTAAAGCATCATATTATTTGGATAGATACCGATTTTTTTGCATCAGACTTGAATTGCGTATTTAGCTAGCTAGCCATGACACAATATCAGAGATAAAGTCTAAAATTGAGAAATTAGTATACTAGTAGAGCACTCATGCCTCGAGTTTCATTTGCAAGGACCACTGTGAAGCTATGCTGGCTTTTTCTTCTCGCCAAGTCAGCCCTCATCCGTGAATACCTACTAAGGGGAACATCTCAAAAACCCTGAGTTATTGGGACATGTCTCCATCATCCCTTTAATTTTCTCCGCGAGAAATATGATCATACGTGTCTTCTTCACAAGTGAAGTAGATGCTAAGTGTTATGGCTTGACCGTTGTTTAAGTTTAGTTAAATACCTAAGCGTAATGTTGAGATTGTTTACGATAAGGCTGCATTGGGAGGGATAGATGAATCTGAATAAGACGGCACTACTAGTCAGGAGGTCGAAGCATTACTACAACTAAGTGACGCCTGGCAATGCGTGGCTAGGTAGCAAATATTGTGTCTAAGAATAAGTCATCAGTCTGGAAATTGACGAATGGGACCAATTTTTATACATACCTGTTGGTAGCAGCCAAATCTCTCTTTTCTCCTCATTTAATCTTGTAAATCGATTTATTCATCACCAGCTCGGTCTCTATCACCCAGGCTACCCAAACTATACCAGAGAATACTACCAGGAGGCGGACCACAGCACCTTTCATCGTTGGTTTGTGTTGATAGTGTCAGCTGCACTCTCGAAATTGAGGTTTTAGCTCGCGCCATGCTCAATTTGTAAAACTCCTTTCAAAATTTCGAAATCTCACCCCTTCCTAGATTGCAACCCACGTCAGCATAATCTTATCCGCTTGTTCACATCTCTCTCTCACGCCTATCCCAAAGAAAATCCTCCCAGATTTGTGTGCCACTCTCAATTTCCATCGTCAGATCTAAATATATATGTCGGTGTATATCTAGTGGCAAACTGAGGCTAGAGAAAGTCGACGAGAGGTATGGTCATTAAAATTGGGATGTACTTGTAGACTTAATGAGGCTGAGGTAGAAATTAATCTTATTAAAAGTGAAAGATTGATACGGTGGAGAGTCTTGGACCATTGCCTCGAGGACCGAATCTTCGGTATTGCAAAGTTTGATTGAACTTGACTCTGGGAGAATCTTACACTCCCAGATCCGTAGAGAACAGAGCGGAAAGGTGTCCAGTATCGGCAAAGACAAATTCTTCACCTTCCAGTGGTGCCGGTGTAATCGCTCAGTATGCTCTGCATATCTGGGATAGCCAAGAAGAATCGCATCCGAATCAAAGTCGAAAGCAACCTCAATCATTTGTCCATTTGAAAACTTCTCGACATTGCTTCTCTTGTCATTCTTATCTGAGTTCTCAGCCCATTTATAATCACGCATCATCCCGCCTCAACGACCAATAGAGAGGTTGTTCCAATTGCAAGCAGGAACTTGCCCCATTAATTTTCAGCCATCTCTCACTACATATTTACGACGCTATTTATACCTGCAGGGAGGAAATCAAGTCGGCAAATACAAAGCCCGGGTCCGGGCTAATGAGGGAACTATTGCTCTAATGGTACAAACAACTTGAGAGAAAATAGGCAGCTGAGATGTAGAGCGAGAGCGTGATCAGGTCTTTAAAGACCATGCTGGGACCGACATTTTCGAGTAGTTTTCATCTTTGGAGCGTTTGTGGGGACCAAGACCGAGGTTTCTGATATTAAGCCAGGAGGACTTTTATCGTCGATGAGTCAACAGCACTCCCGAGCGCCCTGGATGGCACAAAAGAAGTTACGCTAAGCTAATATACAGCAATCACGCTCTTTCAAGACTTTTCTGACACTTCAGCACGACCTTCGGGAAGGAGTTGGAAGGAGGCTAGAAAGGCAGAGTGTGAATTTCCCGAGGTACCCACAAGTCTGCAGCGCCCAACTGGCCGGCCTCTTCGAACGCATCAGAAGGATCACTATATCTTCGGATTTAGTCCTAATGTCGGTATTAGGAGAGCTCCGCACCCAGTGGTTTTTGCGATTTTTCCCGGCTGCCATACACCCGCAAATGGCCATCGTTTCGTTGGCTGGAGAGGGGAGATAATGAAGGACAAAGGGCCCCTCTAAGTGTATGATTGAATGAGGACTTGTGAGGAGTGGTACTGTTTGAGGGGAGCTCTATGGGAGGCATAGGAGTGGATATACTACTGACATATGTATCCTTGGCCTATAGGCAGAGAGGACCTGCATGCCCTACATGTCCATAGACTCAGAAAGGACAATAAAATGAATTAACAATAATATATGGAAGAAACTGTGGCCGGAAAAGACGAATTCTTCACCTTCCAGTGGTGCCGGTGTAATCCTTAGTTTGCTCCGCATATCTGGGATAGCGAGGAAGAATCGCATCCAAATCGGAGTCGAAAGCACCCACAAGCACATCTAAAATCGACGACTTCTCGTCAATGTTGGATCTATCATTCTCACGCAAATCCTCCACCTCAGTCTTACTACACCGACTCGCCTTAAATACCGATAATGGCGTTACTCCAATTGCAATCGGGCATTTGCCTCATCAAAAATCGGCCATCTCCCACTACATATTTACGATGCTATGATGATGATGATTTATTTATCGTGCCAGGCTTACACCCTCCATCCAATGGACATGACACGCATGGAGGACATCTAGAATACAAGTTCCTCTATTCTCCAGCAAAGCCCATCCGGTGCCTGACTTTTCCAAATACGTGCCTCACGCTAGTTACATCGGGTCGAATAGGTAGGAACGCATTCACCATGATCCTAAGACCATGTATTGAGGGAAAACCTTCGTGGGAAAACCTCAATAATTCCTCCCGCACTCTTTCACGACGAGCAGCCGTAGTCTCCCCTTAAACAGGCCGTGTAGGAATCCAACCTACTACTTCTAGAAAGCACATTCAGCACCCGACCAACTGTGCCAACAGCCTGTTGAAAATCACATACCGTTCTTCCCAAACTCTCCCCTGCATTGCGCTCAACCCCCATTTGAGAGGGCTGAAATTCCGAAATCGAGAGCTCAAAACCGAGGCATCGGTGCCCCAGCTTTTGTCGTACATTGTTCGTTGTCTGAGTGAGGCTTCTTCATTCGCGCCGTCTTTGGAATGTGTCGAAAGGTTGAGAATGTTGATGTCGCGGTCGAGGTACTTGTCTAAAATGAGGCCGAGCAATTGCCCAGTCCTGCACACAATGTTAGTAAGGTTAAAAGCGAAAGGAATTTTACCTTTGATTTTTGAGGGTTGTTGGTGAATCGTAAAGTCCTCCCAGTCAAACTCAATCGGGAAGTTGTTAGAAGACTGAATAGAAGAGACCCAAACTTAAACTTTTGATCTATCGTGCCGGGAACGGAAACTAGCCCATGTATCAATCGAAATCGACTGGGCCACTCTCAGCAAGTTGCCGTTGCGAAGGATGCGATTCTTCTTGGCTATCCCAGATATGCAGAGCATACTGAGCGATTACACCGGCACCACTGGAAGGTGAAGAATTCGTCTTTGCCGGCTTTACGATGCTATGTATACCCGGAAGGAGGAAATTAAGTCATAATCTACAAATCTCGGGTCTTGGTCTATGGGGGACCGTTGCTCTAATAGGGCTTTACATCTTGAGGGAGGACAGGCTGCTGGAACGTGGGACGAACGAGTGAAGAGGTCACAAATTGACATTATGGGACGCACATTTCTCCAGTGTTTTCGACTTACGAGTATCTGTGGGCGCCGAGACAACGATTTAGGATAGTGCTACCGACACCCTAAAAACAGGCAACGACGGAAGGTGTTTTGGTCCGCCTCCTGATCGTTTTCTCCCCGAATTAAAGCCTGGGTAGCCTGGACACCTACCTCACTCGAAAAAGGGAGGACCGTGAGGCCATATCTCGCGCGGCGGCTACATACAAGATGACAAAGGCATGTTAGGGTAGCCAAAGGTTTTCCTATTTTCCCTTTGGTGGATATTAACGGTTGAGGGAAGGGTGAAAGTCCCTAGCACCAAGGTCTCGAGTGGTATCAGCGAATACAACCACTACATGAGTAGTTCAAATGTCAAACTGAGTTATCATCGTATATGGTCGTCGGAGAAGCTAGTCCTCTCCGTGTCATTTGTCTATTGGAAAAGATTGAAAAAACAACACATATAAAAACAAGTGAATTTTGGTGGTTTATTGTCTACTTTTAGCAGTCCTTCATAGTCATAGACTCAGTAGGGACTTAAATTTAATTCTATTCTATTCTTCATGTCATGCTCTTTGAGTGCAGGGCTTGTGCCCGTCACGATTAAACTTTCATTCATTATGGAAGAAACGTTCATTGTATATCCTATGCCTACTAGAGAAGTGTTCATGATGTCCTGCACGTGCGCCTCGGCTAATCCTTCAATGTGCCTTGCTAGCCACAGTCAGCTTAGTTCATGTGATACCTCACAGCTCCTTTTTAAATCATATTATATTCAGTTGGATAGCTGTGACAATTTACATAACATAAATATAAAGCAAATACAAATCCTCATTAAATATCTTTATTACAGCCCCTTTCTGGGTTGGATGTTGCAGTGGCACACCATTCGGGCCGTTTTCCCAAGTAGATTCTGGGAAGCTTGAACACCTATCCCATATGAGACAGGAGAAATCTAGTTCGTACCCAGTTAAAAACACACCACTCACTCTCGCGGTGATATTGTACTTGTGGGATGATGAAAGCACACTCGGATAGCCACAGGTTTATCACGCTTTTCCCTGTGGTAGGTATGCACGGAAGAGGTTATACGCCGTAAGGGTTAACATCGAGTGTTATCTGCGAATGAAATCTAATTGTGAGTGATCTAAAATTCAAATTGAGTCATCCTACTTAAAGTACGTATCTTTCGATAAAACCTGTATGGGCCCACAGGGTACCTGAACGGGTTAAATGAAATGAAATCAAGTGTGTATTTTTTTATTGTCTTAACGAGTCTATGAATATGTAAGGACATGTAGGTCCTTATGAAATCAAGTAAAACAACAATAATAATAATATAGCAGTCAAGGAGGACTATTCTCAACACCTGTCAGTGGTGTCCCCTACGTACCTCCAGCTCTCACTGTAGTCTTCAGAGCCGAGATTGGGTGACAAAGTCCTCAATTTGATGAGCACTTCTATTTGCTTTCGCGGACTGTGTCGTCTTCATCTCTTAACACATTCCCCTATCACCATTATCATGAAGCTAACCACGATCAGATCAGATGGTAGGGTCGGAGCTCTACTCATCACCAAACCTTGATCACGGAGGAAAAGCCATCTGATGAGTTTCCGGAGCGTACCCAGCACCCGATACGGAGATTTTGGATTGGATCAAGTCGGCCTCGAATGTTACAAGGAAGGGAGATGTAGACGGATGTGCGCACCTCATGTGGTCTCGATGTCTAGACCTCGCCTGGCTGGGGCTGCAGGATTTTTGAGACGTTCTCCCGCGCACGCAGTTTCCATCGCTACCATTTTTATTTTGTGAAGTAGAAGGTTCCGTGTAAAAGGTGACCGAATTTCACGGATAAACGCTGAGCTGAATGGCCATTCATCAAGGGCAATAAATCAATGATCTTCCACGAAACATGAGAGGCAAGGTGCACAGTGCAAGATGTGGCCTGGGTCAGAGAAGAGCCCAGTGTGCTAGATAGCCTATGACTCAATTATTACAATAAACACACTCTCTCACTCTCTCACACACAGCAGTCAAAAACATTATCATTCGGACAAAATCGGCACCACGTTCCACGAACGTTATTTAATTGTTTTTATAACTGTTACCATCTAAATTGATCCATCTCAACTGATTTCCCGATTTTTTTACGCTGCGCTTGGGCATGGCGGTTTCGGAGCTTGGAAATGTGGATTTTGCGGCAGGATAAATTTTCGCGATATAACCAAGACCACCAGCGGAACAGCCATGACTACAGCTGTAGAGTCTCTTGTGTACACCACAGTTGTCGACATGGATAACCTTAAGTCATTGGGGTATTTTTCAGACAAATTTAGAGATAAAATGGTGATTGCAGGAACTAATTCAACTGCGACACTGATGGTAGAGGTGAATGGGGCTCCTGAAGCTGTCATGGCCCATGCGACGATGTTACGATCGGAGTTAACGGCCACGCCAATGGAGAAAAAGATCCTTGCCTCAGAGAAGGCAGTAAAGAAGAGTCTCGAGGAGCTGGTCCGCAAGACGGCTCCACAGTCGGCACGGGCAATGAGAGGACGACCCACCTACACCTCAATTGTCGCACCGCCAGCAACCTAAGCGGCAGTATGGATTCGAGTACAAGGATGAAAACATGCCAATAATGGCACAATTATATACCATATAACGGTGGAAACAAAAGTCCTGATTCCTGGAATCCAAATCGATAGGCTAAGATGGCTTTACAATGGTAAAGAATACAAATGGATGAAGAAAAATAGCCATACTCGAGAGTCAGTAATCAGGAGCCTCCCTACCGAGGCTCTTCAACTCGAGGAGGTAAGAGACGGCATTGTCCTCAACTCAAAGCTATACGCGGTCCAGCTCTGGTCACCCTGGGCACAAGTCAAGCAGTGCTTCAACTGCAGCCAATGGGGGCAAATACAAGCCTCTTGTAATAAGGCTAGGAAATGTGGAGAGTGCGTGGGCACCTACCAGGCCAGAGATTGCCCGAAGAATTCGGTGCTATGCTGCAACTGTGGTAATGCACATTTATCGTGGCAGAAGGGGGGGTGTCTAAATTTCGCATCATATGAGGTCAGTGTCCAGAGGGCACGATATGGGCTGATGAAGAAAACGGCACAATTTAGAAGAGATGATAATTTTAACTCGGCATTAACATTACCATCAACGGCGATAACAACTGACGATCAAGTTTTCACACTAGTATCCTATAAAAAGGCTGATGGAGGTAAGAGAGAGCCAGAACGCCCGCGCAAACAACTCCTGGTCCCAGCCCCAGCCCCACTTCCAATACCACCATCGGGGCCAAGTTCAGGACCACAGGCATGTTTTTTAAACACACGAAGGAAAGGATTTCGAGGTATTTTTTTCAGCTATTACTGTCTCTAACTGATGGCCAATTGTACTTCCTGTAGGTTAACTAAGGACTACAGACATAAATCAGATATCGGTAGGGGATTCTTATCTTAATGGCTTTCCTCTCATGTAAATATATAGATAGTTTCATATCCGTCTGCATGGGCCCTTAGGGCGCCAGTTCTAGTCAGATGAAATCAAACCAAAATAATACAGCAGTCCGCCCTCCTCTTCCTTGCCTCCAAACAGTTCAAACGAGCCAGCACAACATACTTGAAGGTCGCGACTTCCCAACTATTTTACGACGTCCTATATTCATCTGAATACTAGTGTTCCAAATACATGCTCTCAAATTCTAACTGATAGATTTCTTCCCTCGTTCATCCCACGTCCCGACTGCCTTTCCTCCCTAGATACGTAGAGCCCCTTTATATCTATAGTCCCGCATAACTCAAATCCAAATCTTGGTATCTGACGACTTATTCTTCTCTCTGCAGGTGTACGTAGCATTGTTAATTTGCAGTAGGAGGTGGCTAGTAATTAGTGGGGTAAGCTCCTGTTTGCAAGAGGAGCAACTCTTTTATCGGTCGTTAAGGTAAGATGATGTGTGGTTGGATAGAAGTTGAGGACATAAATGAGATAGGTAAGAGCGGCATGGTTGATAAGTCGTCAAAAGGGAATGTGCCTGAGTTTGCTTTCAACTTCGATTCGGATGCGATTCTTTTTGGCTATCCCAGATATGCAGAGAATAATGAGCGATTACACTTGCACCGCTGGAGGTTGAAGGATTCGTCTTTCCCGGTAGAATCATCCTTTGTTTACGAGTAGAAAACAACCCAAATAAATGATATCAATAGCAAGGAATCTACTCATCCAAACCTGAAATCTCACATACATTCGTTACCCCTAAACCTCCACGTTAATACTTATACTGCTATTACGAATCAATCATGACGCTACAACCCATGATGATTCTCGAAGATATCCCTCTTTACGCACTACGGTGTGGCTAGGTCTCCAGAGAAATATAGAAGCGCTAATCTGAAAGCCGATCAAGCGTGAGCGAGTTTTAGTATGAGATTTGTCGATAAATATAGAATCAGTAGACGCCACCAAGCGTGAATGTTACATCAGTTAACACGTGGAGGCGTCAGTGAGGGAGCTACAGATGCCTAAAAAGCTGTTTGAATGCTAGTACGTATTTTGTTCTCCCATATAATTAGGCGCTGAGCTTCCCACATCTGCATAACCCATCACAAATCACCATGTTCGGGCATAGTTATATAATTGGTTAGCAGAGCTGGGCATGTGCTTAGGCCAGCCGGGACGTAGAGGATGAGGACGAGGCCTAGAAGAACCAAAGATGAGTCTATGCTACACACAACTCGTCGGCTCGATCTGGCATGGCTCAGGGTCTCGGCTGCTTCGGAAAAACATGTACGTCCAACAGCAGACTCAGCAGCTGCACAACACATTTTGACGGCAAGAAGCACCTAACCAACTCAAGCCGTGTTGCCGCAAGATATAATGGAGAATATCGAACTCGGCGTCCAATATCCAGACGGCGTTATAAAGAAAACATGGGTCCGTGGGCGCACGCGCGACGGAGATGACATCAAGATCGAAGAAGTCCTACAAAAAGATGATATTACTCTGGCAGTTCTAGGTGCTTTTCAAGTCGATGGCGACTGGGTCAGGGCAAAATTAAATGAGAATACCAGGGTCTACTGGGTTCTTCAGGCAAAGACTAAGTTCGAGGTGAGTGTGCACGGCAAATCAATGTCATGCAATACCTCTCGATTATATGGATACCAGCCCATTCAAAGCACCGCATAGCTCTCCTATTCCAGTCTACATCTTCGAGAAAATCTACCTCGGTGTGGGACGGTTGCCTTCTGTCTCTGGTCCGGCATTGTGTAAGCTGATATGACGGTAGAGGGACGAAATAACATCTCGGGCTCCATCAAACCATAGAATATGTTTTCCATCTATGACTGGTAATATCAACTGCATGCATTCCAAATTACAGCTTATTGCACACCCGAGCCATCTACGCATCGTCGTCGCCACTGCCAATTTGGTATCATACGATTGGGGCGAAACTGGTGTTATGGAAAATGTGAGTGAGCACGCGTGATGGGTTAAAATGAGCTTCGACCACATTCACACATGAAATGTTTGTTTACAAATATACTCACTAACTTCAGATGTGCTTCTTGATTGATCTTCCACGGCTCGGGCCGGACCATAAAGTATCGATGGACAAGCTTACCAATTTTGGACAAGAGCTATCTCGTTATCTCGAAGCCCTTGGTTTACCAAACGTAGTTATAAGTAGCATACGAAACTTTGACTTTTCACGTACTTCTCGGTTAGGCTTTGTTCATTCCATGTAGGAGACTCTTACATTATCAGATACCACCGTTAAAGTCCTAACTAAATCCAGCGGCGGACAGCATGTGGGCACAGAGTGGAAAAATACTGGCTTTTGTGGTCTTGCAAAAACAGTTCAAGGACTTGGTCTACAAAATTCTGGGCCGCTTCAGATAGATTTTCTTGTGAGTTCTTTTAAGCTTTCATTTTCCTTGTCTTGGCCGTTGATTGTTCCGTTAGACTGCGTCTATGGGGAAAATAGATTCAAAGTTCATTACATATCTTCAGCTAGCGGCCCGAGGTAAGATCCCTTCCCTTGGCCTAGCAGTAGACTTGACCTAAGCGGAACTTACTAAAAAATAATTACAGGAGACCTCAAGCTTATTGAGGATTTCTTCTCTGGTGGCAACTTGGATAATTCCGCACAGGAAAGGCTTGATAAAATTGAAGCTGAATTAACAAATTCGTGCAGGATTTACTATCCAACATCTGAGACTGTTTCTAACTCAGTTGGGGGGGTGAAGGTATGATACACGGTCTGATTCCATATCTCGATGGTGTTTATCAATTGGCGAGAGTGGCAATGACTTACTTTTGAATAGTCAGGCGGGACAATCTGTTTTAATGCTAGATGGTGGCAGGCTCAAGGGTTTCTTCATGGACTCCTCCGTGATTGTGAGAGTCAACGGAAAGGGGTACTGATGCACAGCAAGATGTGGTTCGTTCATCCCGAAGAAGGACAGCCGTGGGTATATGTCGGAAGCGCCAATCTAACAGAGTCTGCATGGTAAGTAAAAGTGATCGATTTATATTTCTTTATCCATTCTACGGCAGGTGCAAACTATCGCTAAAGAATCAGAACTAAACCTGTAGTGTCGGCTAACCTAATCTAACTGCCAGGGGCCGACTCGTCAAAGACGCGAGAGCGAAAGGGCCTAAGATGAACAGCTCGAACTGGGAATGCGGTATTATCTACCCCGTATCACGTCAGAGTAATTTGAGCATTCAAATGAATAAGGCCATGGACGCTTTTTCCGGAAATGTCCCAGTTCCGATGGTTGTACCGGGCACAGCATATGGCGACCGGCAACCATGGATGATTCTCTGATGATCAAGGATCCTCACAACAATAGCTCATTCAGCAGATGCTTGCGCGGAGTGTAAGTATAATTGCGATGAATGGGCGTAATAGGTCGATTGGAAGGGCTAAATTAAGAATATTGTTGCGTCAAGGTAGGATCATAAAATCGCTGCCATGTACGGTATCGAGTCCCTGACTCGATCCTGGACAGCTTCATGTGATCTATTGTAGGTAATAGAGAGATAAAATGGACACCATGTGCTAACTGTAAGAAATGTCGAGATAGAGCCACTGCGATCGCCACGACCTAGATGTGAGCAACTTTGGGAATTGCGGATCGTTCCTAACTTGGCCCCACTCTGCCGTCACTTTTCCCCTGCCCGGGAAAATATATGAATAGGTTGTGGATGCCGAGTCAAATGCAGGCCGTCTAGGCGTGCGAGTCAATCCTACGGCTCTTCTCCGACACGGCGTAGACGGGCTACGCGTATCTAGTTTTGGTACGAGGTAAGCTCCGTTCCAGGATATGATTTCGGGAGTAGGGGTTGTTGTTAGAGCGCATATCGGGCTCTTCGCCTTGACGGGTTGTTGGCATCTAATGATTGCTTGCGTGCAGGAAAATGGTGCTACAAGGCGGCTGGCAAGCTGCGGGTCTTTGATCGAGGACGGCGTGTCAGGTTGAGGAAGGGGGGTGGGTCGTGTGAGTGTGAAGAAGGTCAGCCAGCGGCCAAGAATTGGTACGCGGCAGAGAGACAGAGAGAAGGGGGGAAGCAATAAAAACCCCGCATCGACAGCAACGGGATTGCAGGCTAGCAAGCAGCCTGCCCAACGTGCGCCCAGGGATAAGCTTGACGAGGGGCTGGCCTCTGAAAAGTCACATGGATCGGCAATGACTGATCAAAGCCACCCCTGATAGTCATGTGACCGTTGGGGTTTCCGGCCATGGCCGGCGAACCATCGATCACTCCAGCCCCGGCGAGTGCAGTGTCGCTCTACACAGTCGTATCGCAATGTGGTTTCTGGTGGTCGGTGGCAGCGATTGTCCTGTCATTCGCACACGTCTACCACCGTCACATCTGGCCTTTCCCACCTCGCCTTGCTCACTTTGACCCGCCAATACGTCAACCCATGTGTCCGATGCACCGCACACACTCTCCTCTGTCTTCGAATCCTTCCCCCGCTCGCCTCGGCTGATCGCCTGTCCTTTCGTACTTCAAAGGCCCTAGCGTGTGTTGCGCGTCTTTGCACTAGGCGACGTCAAGGCCCCTGCCTGGTCCCCCTCAGTGTGGATATCTGTTTGAAGACAAGTTGACCTGTCTCTCAGCTCCTGCCCTCTCTTCGGGTCCATCGTTTGGTGTGGAGAAGAGGGAATGATCATGGCTGAATTGGGCGTCGGTGTTGGCAACAGAGCAGTTCTCCCCGCCCCGCCCCCGGAGAAGGCAAGGATGAATGAATTAAACAGTCGGGGAGTCGACGGCAGAAGGGAGCAGCGAGAACCGTCTTCAACTAGCTTCGCGATGTTTGCTGTCACAATGGATAACGAGCCCGCGCTCTTTGGTAGGGGATCATCCGGGGGCGGCAGGCGGAAATTTTGGGGAATGACCTGACAGCCTCTCCAAAGCGACGTATGACTGGATGTTATGGTCTGGCCTAATGAGTGGATGGGCTTTGATATGATGAGGGCCTTTACCCCCGCCCTTGCGAAGCCCTTGATCCCTTCTTGATTGTTGTCACCCTATCCCTACATGGGGGTGATGCTACTCTGATTTATTGGATATTGTGACTGTGACAACAGAATATAGCAAGCCGTCGGAGGTGTTTCTTTGGGCGGGTGGGGGCGTTGTGAAAGGTGTCCTAATCCATAGATGAAAGTGAGCATCCTATATTGCAAGGCCTGACCCTGCCACGCGTACTTTCCGTATAAGTGGTTGGTAGAGGTCGATCCGCCGATTTTCTAGGCCGTTGATGCCGGCACCTCGCTGGACTGAGACTTCATTGGCGACATGGCTCGGTCATTTAGTCCATTGGAGCGAACTGGTGAAGCTGCGGTTTGTAAATGCTTACATGATTCCCTGGCCTTGAACGCCTGCGCGCTCACCATCGCCAGAGCTCAGTGTCCTCTTGAGCCCATTCCATCCGGGCAAGGTCACGATATGCTGAAGTTGCCAGTGACCATTTGCTGGCATGCACCAGGACGTCGTCGAGGTATCTTCAGCGCAGAGCGCCAACCAGGGAGTGTAAAGGCCGGCTTTGCGCACTTCGAGACGACACTCGTCGGAATGCTGGGTCATCGAGATTTGCATTATCAAATCATGTGTCCCTGCGCTACCTCTGCTGCCGCCTCAAATTCCCGACCCCGTAGGTGCGGCGTGCTGCGGAAAATGAAGAGCTGTGCGTCGGTGAAGGTCGGAAGAAGGGGGCTTGTCGAGTGTGGATAGGCGTGCATCTAGGCGAAGCTAGGGTGTAGGTATGTAGAAGGCGGCGGATTTGGGGGCAGACGCGCCAATGTGATGGAAATGTTCACTGCAAGGCGGCTGGCGGGTACTATTCGCAGCACGACCGGCTCTGATCAAACCGTTGCAGCCCATGTCCCACCATTAGACCAAATCAAGCCAGCCTAGCATCACCGCTAGCCGGTCCGCTAGTCTACCCAGCTTGGACACGCGCACCATTGGTCGTACGCACGCAATCTGTCGTCTGCCTGTTCTGTCAGCCTACATGGATGGCGGCCTTATCATCTAGTCGAGTTAAATGAAAAACTACAGAATAAGGTGCACGCGCACCCTTTGTTTAGCTTGGCAGAAATGCCGCGCGAACCCGGGCGCTGAGAGTGATGGTCCGAGTCACCGTGCCAGGCGGATGGTCTGATGGCGTAGTTGTTATCGTAGCGGCAGCGCCTTGCGGTTGAGCTGGTCCGACCTAGTTCTCGGGTCACAAAATCTGTCTTATTTGGTAGGGGCGGGGTATGGCATTGATTGCACATAGGCTGTCACGTCCAATTATAGCAGCAGTAGGAGCTGATACACATAGCCCTATACTACGCCAAAATATGGGGACTACGGCTGTGAATGTACCACAACCGAGGCGATGGCTCTAGCAGTTAATCTCAACGTTGCTGTGGTAATTATGACTTGGCCCTCGCAGTCGTTACTAAGCTTAGCTCACTTGGCTCAGTCCCTCCCCAGTCGGCCGACTTATGCCAGCCTTCATAAGAGTTCCCTAGCTTCTCCAATGGGCCCTATCTTCGCTTACCCTGGCGGCTATTATTACTTCTGACCGGGCCTCCCCTGATCCTCACGCCGGACTCCAGCTTCTAACTCAACTCAGCTTTGGTCCCTTACACCCGCCGGTGCTTCTACAGTCCCCGGCCGGCCGGCTGAGTGACTGGCCAACTATGTGTCTGTGGTCATAGACTCATCCTCGAATTATCTGTCTTGTACGTGCAGCATGGAATGAAAACAATCTGCAACAGTGTATCAGGCACCACAGACAACCGTCTCTCGCAACACCCGTCCACACTCATTCACGCGCATACGCATACGCATACGCACGCACGACCAGAGCACGTCGTGGTTGTACGACAAAACCGACGCGGCTGAAGCGTCGCCCGTCGACATCGCGGGGGCTATGATCTGAGACTAAGACGGCCGTCTATGGTGGCCAGGGGAGATGAATGAGCCGGACTTGCCAGCATTGATTCAATTTGCAATGGGCATTATGTGCACTGCGTCAACTACCACCACCACTACTACTTCTTCTGCTGCTGCACAAGCCCTTGCACTGGCCATCAGTATCAACCAACTATCCCAGGCTGGGATCTGCTCACTCTCGGCGATGAGACTCCACCCCGAATCCTTTCGCGTTTCCTAACCCCCGCCTCTTTCCCCCAGCCGACTCCGATACACTGTCGTCCTCCTAGGCTCTCGCTCCTTCCAAGCTGGACAAACTCCGTCTTTGTGTGAGTGTGCCGGTCGGCGTCGGCGGCGGCGGGAAATTTGTCGTTTCTCCCTTTGCCCCTCAAAGGTAGCCGTCTGCTTCGGATCCGCTTCCCAAGCCATGTATGGAGGGGGAAGGTGGATGGAAAATAGGGAGTCGAGGGAATGGGAAAACAGAACGATTGGTACTAGAGGTAAACAAAGACAAGGGACTGACGACTCCTCATCCTCTTCCTCCTCTTCCTCCTCGTCTATCATCCCCAACCCCTCCCCCTCCCCCTCCCCCCACATACACATACACACTACTCGTTTTCATCATCATCAGCACCGCCCTGATACCCCTTCAACGCGCACTCGAATTTAACCATCCCCTCCCTCCCCGAACAAATGGACCCAGGACAACCATAGACAATAGCTCAATCCTTGTCCGAATCTCAGACCAAGCTGCCCTCTTTGCGCTATCACCTTCAAACTACCGATCTACATATGGTCCTCCCCTCGTCCTGCACGGTGGAAAGAACCTTCGGCCCATCCCTTCTCTCCCGAAATCCAAATCTCTCGAGCCCAAGTCCCAATACGAAACCCCAAACGCCCAAAAGGCTTGATCCTATCCTTTTTTCTGGTACACGGATTCATCAGTTCTCTGCCGTCTCATCCACCACCTCGTCAAGTGAGGGTGTGCTTTGTTGTTATTGTTGTGGTGCGTGGTGGTAGCCGTTGACGTGGGTAAATTTGCCCGGTCCAAGGTTTGATAAAGACTAAACTTCCGCGTGAAGCAGTTATCAAACCATCCGTACTTCCCAAAGACACCAGCAACTTCCTGCCTGTGTTAGTGTTCGCGCTTGAGTGTATGAGTAAGCGTGTGAGCGGGCAACTGAGTTAGGAAGCAAGCAAGAAAAATATCCACAGACCGAGGCCGAGACACCAGACACACGGCATCAGGAGAGCAAAGACAAGGACTCGAACGTCTCGGAGCTGTACGTGTTTACGAAATCTAGTGGAGTAAGTACCGTGTCTTGCCGGCAAGCAGAATAAACCTTTCTACATCAGGGATCACTACGCTGCTTTTCTCGTCCCATCAGTAACCTTTTGCTTTAACTTCAACTCATACCAATTCTATTCTGTCAACACTGCGCTCATCTCTAAGTCTAGACTCCTCAGCTACATTTGGGTCTCGATATAACCATCTATCACCATCCCTCAATTTTTCGTGCCTATCGGCAACAACCTCGGGAGCTATGGCGTCGGCCTCTCCCCTCGCGCCTACTTTTTATGGGCATATCGCCTCGACTCAAGATGCTCTAATGTTATTTGAGGCCTGCCTAAGTGGCGCTCTAAACCATGTCGCACGCCGACCACATGATCGCGAACGCGTCAACCTCATCAAAAGTGGCAATGTATTCATCTATGAGGAGCATTCGTCGGGAATCAAACGCTGGACTGATGGGGTACCATGGAGCCCAAGTCGCATCCTAGGAAACTTTTTAGTATATCGAGAGTTAGAACGACCATTTCCACCCGGTGAGAAGAAAAGAGCCATGAAACGAAGTAAACGGTCTCCCGGTATCAACAAGCCAGATCCGTACCCTAGTGTCAATAATACCATTAATTCCGCCTACAGCCCAGTGATCAACACGGCCTACGAAACCTCCAGCGCGACATCCCTAAGTAAAGAGACCGAACGCTCGCTGATCGGATCTCTGGTTGACTCTTACGGCTTTAAAGAGGAAGGCCTTGTCAAGAAGACTGTTAGTGTCACGATTGGTGGGGTCTCGCATCACCTAGTATCATATTACACCGTAGCGGATGTTATGAACAATAAATTTACCACCCCCTCCAAAGACCCACGTTTTCAACACATTGTCCCCCGACAGGACCTCATCTCTAAACAGAATTTCAGGACGCCTATCGACGAAGTAGACTCCATGGATCGAATTGATGAGCGTACCGTCTACGCCTATCCATATGCACCCCGAAACGGTTACGAAATGACCAACCAATCTATCTCACGACCACTTCCGCTACCTACCCCGCCCCTCTCATACTCAAACAGTTCAGCCATATTTGGTAATTACAGTGTAGCCGCTCCCGGCGTCTCCTACGAAACTCTCGCAACGGCCCAGGCCAACCCAACTTATGCCACTCAGTTTGCTGCGACACCCGGGATTTATACGACGCACACCAAGACCGAGAACTACGAACTCGGTGGTTATCGACAGCAGCGATACAACTCAGTGAGCAGCGTTCCCTCAGACTTAACTCGTGGCCACATGCCTGCCGCAGCCGCATCGTTTGCTCGGCGCTCGTCGAATTATGAGCAGGCGAGCTCAATCGATTCGGGCATCTCAACCTCGTCATCAGATTCGAAGCTGACGAATGATTCGGGCTACTCATCGCAAGGATACTTTAGTGGGCTGCGCGAGCCAAGTTATGCACCGCAACGTTCCCTCCCGACGCCAACTCAGGCCAGCTACGATCGCGCTCCTGCGCCCATCTACCACGCGGTTGATGGCTCTACACTCAAGGATACTATGTGGTCGATGGGCAACGTTAGTGCAGGTCACGGACATTTCATGAACACGCCACAGCAATGGGCCAGTACGGGTACGTCATGAAGCGGCAACGATGTTGTTTTGACGGATTTCCTTATGATCGGGCAGGTTTAGTCGGTCATTTTGGTTTTGGGAATGAGCGAGGGTGGAAACAGGACCTAAGCGGTTGAATGTGCGGCGTTGGATTGACTGGCTGGCTGGCCCTCTATCAGGTGTCACTAATTTCCCATTTTTCGATGCGCGTCAAGCATTTACAGTGCTTGTTTTGTGCCGCGCGCTCGCTACTTACCTGTTTATTTCAATTTTCTTAATATGTCACTGGGCGTGGGGGATTGGAGTAGAGTGGAGTGGAGTGGGTTGGATACATGAACGCGCACATATACCCTCGCCGGCTACCCGCACTTAATGGATTATTTCGTTATTCTAAGATTGGAGAATTCGGGTCGTCGAAGCTTTCGCCCGTCACGCTGATGAGTTCGTGACAAGGGACACGAAGGGGGATAGGGCGGACATAGGAACACGGCAGGCGCATTCGTCATCAGTTATTTCGGCTTTACAAGCAATCTCATTAATCTATTGAAGGCTCTAGACTCATGCTTCGCCGACTTCCTGCAGGATGCGATGAGGACGAAGAGGGCGGTAGTTCTGGCGACGGCTTAATCTCGCCAAAGGTGTGTAGATCAGATAGGAGGGGGTAATACGTGGGAGATGGGGCTCGAGCGCTTGGTGGCTGGGCAGTCGGGTGGCTGGAGAGACCAGGGGCGATGCGACTCTTACGCGGCTGGCTGCGCAGACTCGTCGGCCAGCACCGTAGCCGGCGTGGACGGCGCCAATCACGGTTCTATAGTCGATCAGAAATCAGTTTAGAATAATGCAAAGACACCCAAGTCATGGGGCTGAATACGCGCTGCAGCTCGTGATGTGCGGGAGGCCGAGGACAAGGGCGGCCAGCTATTTCTGTGTTGGGCCACGGCGAAATTTTCGGACCAAGATGAATCGTGTTGCTCCGCAGTTTCCCGCACGTCCGTTCACCATCGGGCCCGACGCCCAAGGTGCTGCTCGCGTCGAGCGTCGCCGTATAGGTCTTACGCGACGCCTCGGGACTCCACGGACGCGTTCGCATCTCGGGCTGATCTCGGGCACTTGCGCTCGGGCAAGGGGTGTCGCGCGTGTGCCGGGCGCCCCGCCGCGGCGTCATGGACGATGCCTAATGCGGCCTAGACCGCTGTCTGGCCGTCTCAGGAGACTTGTACGGCCGGTCGGTCGCCCGCACACGTCACGCTCCTTCATTTCCAATGAGTGCGGCCGAGGATGCCCAGGTCTGGGCCCGGACGCGCCGCGGCGATGCTCTCTCGCCGCACCTGTCTCCATGGCTACCGGGGCTGCGCTTGGGGCTCTTTTGTTTGGGGCCAAGGCGTACTGGGGCCAGGGTGCGGGAACGACGGAACGAGAGGGCGGCCGAGTGGTTGTCGAGCCAACGGCGGCCATGCACGTTTGCTGCAAAAACACCATTATCCGCTCCCGCACGGCCCGGCGGGAGTGAGACGACGACCTCTTCCTCCTTTCCGCTGTCGGGCCAAGCGGGGTATGTACGCTCGGCGCTGTCATAGGACAGTTGCGTGTGCGACACTGCGGCTGCCGTGGTCCTGGGCTGTTGAGCCCGACGTCGCCGTGCTGTCGCAGCCGCTAGACCAGCGTCAGTGAGAGGAAGGGCGTGCTCGCAGTCGCCTTCGATCCGCCACACACTCAGCCTGGTCGTGGACCATTCCATCCATGCGGCTCTGAGTCATGTGGTGCGCAGCGAGAGCTCCGATGGGACATGTTTCGGAGCTCCAAGCTCGACGCGGCCATGATGGCCCTGTCTCGTTTGCATCGAACAGTCTGACGCTAGGCCCGGATCCTCGACCACTTTAAGGTTTGCAAGCTCCCGACTCTATCTTTGCTCAATAGTCCGGACAGCCTGAGCACACTGATGGCTAGTCGGCTCCACCATCGCCCGTCGCGACCTCGAGCTCCGGCGGAGATATCGACTGGGGCTAGAAAGCGCTGGAGCTGTAGAGTGGTTGGTCGAGAGCTGCGACGTCGCCCCGTGCACTGGCAGTGAGTGCAAAGCCTCTGAAACGCTGCCTTTCCCTTGCTCGCAGTCGGTACCTCCATTCGCGAGAAGCTGCCCTATCAATTGATGCCTCCCGTAGCGGAAATAAATGTAACGCGTGCCCTCTAGGCCTCGGTTGCTTGTCTGAACTCGATCTATCCCCAGTGTCGTAATGTGTGAACCGTGAATTATGCCTTGTTGCTGAGTCAGCCAGACTACTTTCGAATTAGAGCACGGACTCCTTGGTCCTGTATTCGGAAAACTTCATGCCACCCACAAGCCGACACCGCAGCCTACACGACAATCAGAGCAAATGCCATCAATCTCTACTAACGACTTGACGTTCCAGCCCACTATCACAGCACCATGCCCCTCAAAATTGTATAAACGTCTCTAATAAATCGTTCGGCCTGTTGGAAGCAGCGCATGGCTTCATGTGCCTCGCAAGCCAGCCCTGCCATCTCCATCACGCGTTCGACGTGCTATAATCAGAGTCAATAATGCCAGACTACGGCATGTCTATACTGTCCAAAGGGTTTTATGCTTAACGATATATTCGCCGCGCAAGCAGCACCAGACCATGCCGACGTCGTTCCACGCCGAGAAGTTCGGCAGCCATCTCGTGAAGCAGCGTGGACTTTCCATGGAACTACGAATCCATGCCTGCCTCAAAAACTTTCTTTTAGTCTATCATCGTCTATAATCCAACCAGGCCCGCGGTAAACCCCAGCGCTGATCACCTTCCGTATCGGTGATTCTAAGGCGGACGATACTTCGCTTGATAACCTAACTGGCCCTTTCGAGCCCTGACCTCTTGCTCCCAGGGCGAAATGTATGGATAACATGGCGTGTGGGACAAAGAATATTGATTGTTATCAGAACTCATTTCGTGCCTATCCCGAGATGCGACGGATCTAATACAAACATGAGCTGAATTTTGTTGGACTTCGAGGCCTGTCTACCGTGCCATTACGTCGATATGCTTGACGTACAGCACAAATATTTTCTCCAGAGAAGTATTCTCCAAGCCCGTTCCTCATGGTAACTCATTTCCCATTGGAGAATCTCAACTTGATTCAATATTTTCTGTATCGATGGGGAATTTCGAGAGCTCTCCGGACTACGTAATTGTGCCATCTACGATCCAATAACCCCCGCACAAACGACTGTAGCAATGCAGGTAACGCGCTACATAATCATAGTTTTGAGCACACAAGTCTGCGGTCCCATAATTAACATCATTAGTTGACCTATCATTCCACTTCCCCAATAACACCTTGTGTTTATCATGAGAGTCTAGCCTATCATGCTCACACAACATTCAATACCGAAGCATCAAGTAATCCCCACTCTACTCCACATACGTGGCCTCGGGTCTTCCACTGTCACCTTTATCACTCAAACCATGACATACATCGTCTTCACTTTTGGTATGGTTAAAAAATAAGTTTACCATCATACCTGAGGAAGTCATCACAATTCGATTCCTCTCATTTGGCCCTCAGAAATCATATATTATAGGTGAACAAGTCTGTGGACTGATATGCCAAAAGTCTTTATTTTACGTTTACAGGTTCCAAGCTGTGCCACATATTCACTGACTTGTGCAAGTGCTGGACAACTCTGGATTTCTTTCGTAAATCCTGTTATTTCATGTGAAATTTCAAACTATTGACCCCCCCACATCATCCATGAAAGGGGAGTTTCCGACTTTTGACTTTCCATTTTGCTCGATTCGAATCAGCCATCTCCTTTCTCAAGTGGAATATATTTCTAAGCTATACAGATACTATGAGGACAAAAGATGAATACTTGTCTACTGCATACTCTACGATCTTGTGGGCCAAATAATATCCTTGAGCCAAGTGCAGTCGAGCTTTACGATGCCGAACAAATTGTCTTGTGAGATATTGTTTCAAGGCTCTCTGCAGGATCAAAATTTTACTCCAAATAAAATCGGGTTCGGGCATACACCCGCAAATGGCCATCTCGTCTGTTGGCTAGAGAGGGAAGATAATGAAGGACAAAGGGTTCCTCAGTGTATGATCGAATGAGGGCTTGTGAGGGGTGGTACTGTTTGATGGGTGCTATTTAGGAGGTACAGGAAGGGATAAACTACTAGCATAGGTATCCTAAGCCTATACACGGAGAGGACCTGCACATCCTGTATCAAAGACTCAGAAAGTACAATTATAATACACCAATCGGGCTCCAATCAAAGCCTCATCAAGTCTTCAAGTATGACCTAGTACATCCTCATATTAATAAACAAACCTCTCGTCGAATCAGTCTCTGGCCGCAAAAAGTACTACATACACGCCCACAAGATGGAAACACCACTGTGACAGTCTTAAATTGGCGTTTTATTCAAATTTAACTCAGAGCTAGATACAAATGAAACACATTTTCTTAGAGTCACCTGAAATTATAAGTTATCGAACATCTTTAAATTAAACTGTCAATTAAATAGATTAAAATCACCCAAAAATTAGACTCATTAAAATGTCTTCGAAAGAGTAGCCGCTCTCAGCGCACGAACAATTCGTCGATTCTATTGTTAATTTGAACCCCAGATAGGGGGAACAGGCAGCCTTCATGAGGAGTCAAGGTGAGACAATTAACTCACTAAAGAAACAGTTAGAAGAAGCAAGAGCATATTCTCCGAATAAGTCGGAATCAAATAAAATTTTCAGGAAGAACAGAGAGACTTCCCACCCTCGAAAAATTCCGAGGAAATAGAAATACATGGGATGAGTGGTATCTTGGTGCTTACCACAGATTAAGTAAAGATGGTCCGGTCATTGGAGATGAGTTCGACCAATTCGCGTACATCTACTCAAGACTTGAGGGCCAAGCTGCGAGAATGGTATCAACAACCGCAAGATTATTATCAATAGACCGTAAAGGCAATGGCTTTGAATTTTTAACATATCTAGATACACTTTTTGAAGACCCAAATGTCGGAATA